CTGTTCCTCTAGGCCTCACTCCAGCGGCCCGGGGTGACAGCCCTGCCAGCCGGACTGCCCGCCCTGAACTGCCGAGAACGTTATCCCGGCCCTCTGAAGGCGCAGCTGGCGTGGGGATGTCGCGGGCCTGGGTGTCCTCCCCGAGCCCCTGGCAGCTCTCTGAACGCAGGGGTGGCCCGGATGCCCTTGCTCAGAAACGAGTCATTGCTCACCTGTGCGCTTTTCCTGCCACTTCCGAACCGGTCCGGGAAACGGGGCTGACCTGCGGGAAGGCCGAGGTGGCAGAAGGGGCCAGCTTCCCTCCGGCTGCCCCACCACACCCTGCAAGGCCTGCATGGCAGCTGCAGCTGTGCGAGCCTGATAAGGAGGCCCCGCTGGAAAATCTCTATCATACATATGTGTATATGAAAAAATTATCAACTAGAACTTGCTATGTAATGCAAGCAGACCTATACTGAATCCCGGTTGCAACTCTCTAATCATGCAGAAAGAGCTTCGTGGGAAGCTCTTGGAAGACACTGTGGAAATATCTAGTCTGTTTCCTCACTTCTTTTGGATTGCTTTATTTTCTGTATTTCATTCATAAAACTAGACTAGATAGTTTAACGATTTTTGGAGAATGCTTCGGGACACTGAAAAAACACAATGTACTAGAAAAGAAAAGGCAAATCAATAATAATAAACTGTAAAAAATGGTGTACTTATTGATATCTGCCTTCTTACATACCTCTTCCATCTTCCTCGACTGTTTCTTTTTCTTCTTTTTTGCACATCTTCTTCACAGGGAAGAATGAGTATGATCTTCTGGTAATTGGTGGAGGGTCTGGAGGCCTTGCCTGTGCAAAAGAAGGTTTGTATGTATAAATAACTAAGAAAAGTTTTGTTTTAGTTTCAGTGATGTTTATGGAAGCTAAGAGAAGTGTTACCAATAATGCTAAAGGTTTTTAAGAAACGTAGTATACTTCAGTTGCTGCACATTAATCATTAACTCTGCTCCATACAGTTAGTCTGCAAATTAATTCTCACCCTCAGGTAGGGTGATCTTGTTTGGCTTTCCTATTAACCTTTTAAAAACTATTTCTTCTTTTGTCAAGGGAAAAATCTAAGAAGTTTTTATTTCACTGTTGTAAAATACTCTGAGTGCCTCCATAGCTACTTTATTTTTTTTAATTATACTGGTTCTCATTTATGTGTTGAAACAACTGTTGCCAAGAACTGTTTAACTGCTGTAGAGAAGCTTGCCCATTTGTAACTCAATATAACTTGCTCAACAACCCACAAAGTTCTTAACTCATTTGGGATCGAATTGCATGTTTAGGGTCAGTGGAAACTGGAGGCTCTAGTCTGGGTTAAGTGCCTTCTCGAGAATCTGCTGACTACATCTCCAGCCAGGATCCCTAGTCTGGCATCTTGAGTTAGACACTACAAACCACTGGCCATCATGTGCTGTACGCTTAATCTGTACCTGTGCTACTAAAAATGTTTAGGTTTGTGTGTTGGTCCCTCCTCTAAATACCTTGTTTTCCTTTTTGTTTAAAGCTGCTCAGTTTGGAAGGAAGGTGGCTGTTTTGGATTGTGTGGAACCTTCTCCACAAGGTATGGAAGAGAAATACTAGAATAATATTTGGACACATGTATAAAATGGTTGCTTAGGTAAGCAGATCGCTCCAGGCAGCAAAGTGCTCAAAGCCACGCTGTCTGCGTTGCTTGTAGTAAACGTCCTTAAGCCCAGCTTGCTATACTGCTCGTTCTCTCCAGTGATGTCCCAGGTCTGCCTGCTTCCTCTGCACATTGGAGTTGTTAGCAGTCTTTGATGCTACCACTTGTAGTAGACTTCGGACTTAAATATGTGAGAATATTGTCTCTGTCAAAACGTCATTTATAATTTCCAAGAACTATGAATCACATCATGTCAAAGTTCTTCATGTACAACATGTAAAATAAGATCTGCAAACGCAAATAAGCAAATGTGACGTGGATCCTCAGAGCTCTGAGAAACGTCTTGATATGGTTTGAATTTTAAAAGAAAAATATAGAGAGGTGGTTTTTATCAAAACAAATTAACATAAGCAGAGTTAGAAACTGACCTGTGGGAGATAGTAAACTGTATGTTGTTTGAGAACTTCTGAACTAGTTGCATGAATAACCTAATTCTCTAAGTAACCCAATTGCATCGTTTCACTAACCTGATGCATTTACTTTTTTTTAATTTATTTATTTTTTTTTTCTTCTCAAGGAACCAAATGGGGACTCGGTGGAACTTGTGTGAATGTTGGCTGCATTCCTAAAAAGCTTATGCATCAAGCAGCCCTTTTAGGGGGTGCCCTTAAAGATGCCCAACACTATGGCTGGAACATAGCCCAACCTGTTCATCATACTTGGTAAAGATTATTGCCCGTATCTACTCCGATGTGCTGCAAATGTGTAACAACCTTTCCCAGTTGATGTTTATTTAGGGACAGTTGCAGAAGTGAATTTTGCATGAAGATTTTTAGACTGCTCCTTGTTTAAAACACAAAACTATTTACTGGTTTATCAAGGCAGATACTATGTTGGTTTGGACTGGATAATTTACTTTTATAACAAAAAGTACTGTAGAACATTTCTAATTTCTAGCAATTGCCTGTATCTTTGAGTTGCATAATCTAAATTTGTAATGTGATGATTTCATCTTCTGTTTCTTGTTTTGTGATAGGTCTGTGATGGCACAGGCTGTTCAGAATTATGTGAAATCCTTGAACTGGGGACACAGAGTGCAACTACAAGACAAGTACATAAGACTTTGAAGTTCATCTTTCTTCCTATAGTCAAAGAGCTGCTCTTTTCCTTGTAGCATTGCTGAATTGCCTTCAGAGTTTCTGATTAGAGCTAGTGTTTTGAGTTTGTAAGTCTATTCTGCTCAGAATTGTAAGTGCCCTTGCTAATGCAAGTGATTTATTCCCACTCCACCCCACCCCCGCGCTTCTTTTTTCTGGGAAATAGCGGTTGAAAGTGACCATACGTTAAAGCTTTCTGACAGTGTAGTGCTCAGGGAATGCTCTTTTTAATCTGGAGAGGTTTTGCATTAATATGAAGTAGTCAGGATTTCTTAAGATAACTTCAAGCTTGTTCACCAAAATTTATGTGCCGTACAGCCCACAGACAACACTATACTAAAGCAGCTGATTTTTTTTGCTTTCACTGCAGAAATGGTTCCAAGTTTTTCAGCATGTAGTTCCTTTTATAGAGAAATTATATTAATAGACAATTTAACAGGTACTAGTCTTGTAACTCCTGCTGAGTCACTTTTGTATGCTCTCAGATGAGCATTATATTAGTGATGTTCTAGATGGTGATAGTAATGCTATGGCTAGTGGAAAATGTGTCATTTGAAGAGATCAATAACCTGATCCCAAAGCATGTTACAAGGTTCGGTACTTCACTGAATAGGGAAGTTAACTGTGATACAAGAATGAAGTGACTTAAATGATGTGACAGAACTGCAAACAATCCTGTGAAATGAGATGCTTTCTTCCTTTTACTTTTCTATGCCTGTTTGCTAACCTTTTTAGCACTTCAAATAAGGAAAAAGCTGATTATATTTCATTCCTGTTCGTCGTTAAGTGTGCATTTATGTTGCTGTTTTCTTCTAAACAGGAAGGTGAAGTATTTCAACATGAAAGGGAGTTTTTCTGATCCACATACAATTCGTGGTTTAACAAAAGCAGGTAAAGAGGTGAGCTGGTCAGTTGATTCCTGCAGTGTCATTCACTTCAAACATTTCAGGTCTTCATGTGTTGGTTTTCAGGTCAGCTGGGAGCGAGACTGTACTTTTGCAAGTTGCTTTATGAGTTCAGTATTGTTTGATGAGGGAGATTTGCATTTTCCACCTAGAGAAGATGTTTATGAACTTGACTGTTTCCGGCTGAGTCCCCAGCCTCTAACCTATCAGTTAGATGCCATTACTTTTTCTTTGCAGATGGAAATGCTGAGACAAAAGATGTTTTTTATTATTATTATTTTTGGTCAGAGTCATACTGCTTTGATAGATCCTTACAGAAATGTTAAGAGAACCAACATCTCCTTGTTGCTCTGGGCATTAGATCAGACTGAGATGTTTGCCTCCTTCACAGGAATTGTAAGGGTGCTTAGCTTTCTAATACAAAATTGTCTGTGGAAGGCAATTGTGCTGACTGCACAGCATCAAGCAGCTGAGACTCGTAACAGAATGGTGGCCGTGTCTGCATATTTAACAAAAGATTGAACGTGCACTTCTAACACCTTTCTGAGAATAATTATATAATGTTAGTCGTTAATATCAGCTTGAGAGAGCAAAAGTTTTTGGGGATAGCTGCCCAGCATTTTCTAAAAATATGCCACTTTTGAAGTGGCTTAACTCCAGGCCTTAGAGACAAAATTCACTTATTGGGATCTCTGCGTGTTTTGTCATAAGCAAAAATATATTAAAAAGTTGCCATTTGTACTCGACTAGTGCTTCCAAGTAGTCATCAGAATCTTGTCCAGTATAGGAACATTTGTAAGCTTAATATTAAAACAAAAACTCATAGAGAATGTGTAGGAGAAACTCCTGCATGTATTCGTTTATATTATCTCCATTTTTTTAATGCATTGCTGATTATTATGTCATAGAAATAGCAGATGGTAATGCCAGCTTTCTGATTTATCACTCATTTGTACATAGATAAAATCTAAGGGCAGATAAAAGGATTTCAAATGCTTGTTTTTGATTGTGTATTTTTGTTTGTAGACTTTTGTTACTGCAGAAAATATTGTCATTGCTACTGGAGGAAGACCAAAATATCCTATACACGTAAGTTACACTTGCCATCTGACAACTGCAATGGCTTTACTGGTTTTGCTGGAGATAATAATGAATGTTTGGAGGATAAAAAATGTAAATATAAAGTAACACATGAGAGATTTTTGTTCTTGTGTCATGTGAAAAATTATCTTTTATATAAAGCACAGGCTTTTCAGAAAACCATTTCTATAGAAAACAATTTGCATCGATTTAGTATGCTAATGTTACTTAGACCTGTAGGATAATACAGGTTGGAAGAGATCTCCAGAGGTCATCTAGTTCAACTTCCTGCTCGAGGAGGTTGGTATCAAGCTGACTATTGAGTCAGCTGTGAGGTCAGGTCATGTTGTTCAGGGCTTTTTGCAGTCAGGTTTGGAAAATCTCAAAAGACCGAGACTGAATGACATATCAGGGCAACCCAAGATGTGTTCTCCTTGGTCTGCTAGCTATAATTCAGCCAATACAGCCCAAGTTGCTATGAGCTTTCTTTGCTGCCAGGACTTGCGTTGTAGATTCAAGATCTTACCTGTGTGTTCATAGGTTGCAGGTGCACTGGAGTATGGAATCACAAGTGATGATCTATTCTGGTTAAAAGAATCTCCTGGGAAAACGTAAGTTACTTACTATGGCTGTAATAGATGCTGGCATTCATAATTTACAGCAAGGTGTAAAATGTTCAAAATTGCCTTTTATACACCAATTTTTCTGTCCTTCTGTTTTCCTTCTGAGAATTTGTTTTGTTATGTGTCAACAGCACACTACGGACTTCATTAGTAACAGTTTTTTCCCCCTCTCCCCTTGTGAAATTCTCTTCTACAATCAAATTAAATACGAATTTTCACCAACTTAGGTTCAGGTGACTTGTTTGTTGTAGCAATTATACGTGAGAGTCACAAGAGGGCAGCATAAACTTAAACGAAGGCTGTACTGTCCTTTTGCTACAGGTATATATGAGATTGTTCCTCAATTAGCAAAGAAACTCCAATATAATTTTATGTTCTCTTAAGTGGTGGCAGTTCTGATAACAAAAGAAAATATGATGAGACAACTGAGTTACTTTTGCCTTTCCTGTGCTTTAGGAGCTATTGATTAACTGAAATACTGAAAAAATGTTTTTAATGGAAATACTAAAATGCCATAATCTTTGATTTTTACAGCACATAGCACAGTAAGATTCTGAGTCAACATTGCACTGCAGAGCAATTTCCTGATGCAAATAATTGTGATAGGAAATGCACATTTGCTAGCATGAAAGTCAGATAATACTATTTTTTTCTTTTCTCTATAGAGCAATTCTAGAAAAAGCCAAGCATACATAAGAAAAAGAGACTTGAAACTATAATACTAGTGTTTTGAAAGAAAACAGAACTGCATTCATGGCTGTGACTTTCTAATATAAAAAATGGACTGTGTTAAGCTAAACATCAAGTAGATTAAAAAGGCTCCTTGGTACAGTTTAAAAAGGAAAGTAAATTTACTGGTTTTTGTAGTATATCAGTCACCTCTCAAGTTTTGAGAGCATGATTTATGTGAGGAGACTTTAAAAAAAAAAAAAAATTAAAAAAAAAAAAACAACAACACACCAACACAAAAATTCCACACAAAAACTAAACATAAGATTTATCCCTGTAAGATGTTTCTGTGAAAATGTGGCTTTTGTCCAGTTGCTCCTAATGCAAGTTGTAACAGTGTAATGTGGGAGTCTAGTGTTTATATGTTGCATTCCTGAGATTTAGTCAAAATAAGCCTTCAGGGGCTACAGTAGCATTTCTGTGCTTTATCAGGCTGTGTCCTAGCAAACGAAGGAGAGGGTTGTTAAAGGTTTATTTCTGTCGGATTTGTTTCTATTATAAATATTCCCAAGGTTCAGTTTAACACCTTTTGTTTTTAGTCTGAGCTGTGTTGTACTTTTTCTTTTCTACCTCTCCAAATGTACATATCTCAGCTCCAAATTACATGCCTGGGGGTTAGAGAACTGTCAGTCCTGCCATTATTAATATTTAAAAAAAAAAAAAAAAAAAAAAAGCAAACCGTTACCTAACTTAAAAAGTCCCTTAGATATACAAACATTGTGCAGAAATTCTCACTACTGAGATTAAGGGTTTTGGCAGAGTGAATTAGAAGAATGCCTTGAAATGCATTCAGAATGAGTGAGAAATTGAGCAGGTATAAAAAAGGTTAGGTTCTGCTTTCTTAGCTTTTCTGTTAGACACTGTCAATGCCCAGGAACTCTCTACTTTGTAGAAGAAGTTGCAAATAATGTGCTGCTGACACTAGGAATTAGTGCCACCTGGCATCTATTTTTCATCTAATGAAAAAGAAGAGCAAACATATGCCCATATTGCAGATATTAATTTCCTTATAAATCTCCAGTAGATGTTTCTTTATGGGCAGCACGTGGGTTTTTGCAGTGCTTCCAAGGAGCTATATGCTAAAAGAGGGAGTGATCATCCATTCACAGATGAATCAAATGCCCTAATGCTGGAAAAAATTATTTCCCACTGTGTTAAATTGTTTATCAAACATAAAACTCAGACTATCAGATTTTAATCTCTTTACCTCAGCCTCTTCTCGGTACACCTTCAGAAGTGGTATGTTTTTATGATGGGGTAGATAGATGATATCTAGGGTTTTTGTCAGAAAACACGTTGTGCTGACCCTGCAATCCCTGGAGCTCGCTGAGAAGCAACCCCGTGTCTGTGCTTTTCGGCAGTTTAAAAGTGTGTTAGAAGGAGGGAAAGTTGCAGATTGGTTTAGGGTGAGGTTTAGCCCACGAGCTAGTGTTTCATCTACTGCTTTGCTCTGCTCTCTTAGCATAGGATAGGCTGTAGGAAGAGCTTTCCAAGTACTGGATTTGTTTCTCTCTTGCGGTATGGTGGATGAATAACTTCCGTAGGGATATGTGACTAGTCAGTGACAGGGCCAAAAAGAGAAGCCAAATTTGCTGTCTGCAGAGCTCCATCATGCCTGTAACATTTGGTTTTAGTTGCCATGCATGTTTATATGTAAAATATTTTCATTTTCTAAGGTTCTTGATGTCCTTTTATGAAACACAGTTCTGTCTTTGTAAACATGTATGCCAGTAGTTTTCCTGGTAACAGGGTGGAGGGAGGATCATTGCTTTGTAAATTTTAATTAAAATTGATGAATGATACATCCTTATAAAGAGACTGCAATGCATGCACCACTTCGTGTTACCCTTCAGTTTGTGTGTGATTTTCCATGGATTTAAGGGTTTATGTGTATTTTGGGAAGCGCCATACTAGCGTATACTACTTTAGCCAGGAATCAAACAAAACGTAGAATGTGAAACAGCACGGGATGTGTAGGCTACGGATTGATATTTCAAATGTGTTCTTTCCTGTGATACGACTACTTCAAATTTTTACCTGTTTGGAGCATGTTGTGTCAAAATAGTTTTGTTTTGTTGCTTAGAGTTTTTGAATTAATGGAGGCACAGCTGCTGAGGGGAAAGGATGATTTACTTAATGGATTATTTTCATGCAACTGTTCTCTCTGCTGGCATTGTCCTTTGTGCTGCTAAAACTAAAACTAAAACTCCTCAAAACAGTCAAACAAGGCTGGATATGAGTAAAAGAATATGATATGGTTCTGTGACTTATGCTTATGTGACTTATAATGCTTATGCTTCCTTGCTTATCCTCCTAACTTTAGCCTATTTAAACTCTGCTATTATGTGAGTTTGTATTTTGAGTTTTTAAAGTAAATGTCTAAAATTTCTGGCTTTCCAAAATGCAATTAGCAAACTACTTCTTCCATACCCAAAAATCTGAAGTTATTTTTTAACTTTTGAATATGGCAGTATGAGAGAGACCTACTTTAAAAAAATGCCCAAAATAAACAGAAAAAAGTGTGCCAAATATTCAGATGAATTCTGAGTGTTGTGTTTTTGTGTTGTTGCTTTTGATGAAAAGTTCTTTATAAAGCATGGGGATGAAAGTCCTTTTTAAAGAATGTTTTTCCATAGATGAAAATCATAGTCAGCAAGAGCCTCACATTCTACATTGTTCTCATAGTAACTAGAAATTTTGATCCCTATTGATGCTTTTTTTTTTCCCCCTAATTCAAAAACTTAACAGAAGACTTTGTTGTAAGTGAAAATGTTATGTGGAATGCATCTCCAAATTGTGAGATTTTAACAAATCTACATAACACAGGAGCAGTAAAGGAATGTGAGTGCAGCCTGTCCAGAAACTGGGTGTTAGTGGCTGGCTGGTTGGACCCACTTTTACCTCCAGAAGAGCAACTGAGCATTCTGCCTTTCGTGTACCCAGCAGACAGGGGGAACTGAAGATATGGTCAGAAGAGAGAGGACTGCTGCAATGTGTAGGGCATCTGGGGACAGGCATGGAAACTGCTGTGCTGGAGACTGATACACCTCGTACATTAAAAGTGTTGATGGACAACTTGATATTCTTGGTTGAAAGGGTGTGAAACATAGGGAGAGATGGGAGCTGGAGTTTTATTTAAGATCTAAAATGGATGTATTTGGTAAATACTGGTCTAGGTAAATCTATTAAATGGATTTTCCATAACCGCATACACAAACTTTTAAAGACAGGAAGGGCAAATATTTGTTATTTGGATAAATAAGATAATGAAAAATCAGATGGTTATAAATCAAAATTAATTTTAGCAATTAATAAAATCTTATATTGAGAACTGTAATCTACTTGATAGGAAGATGATTAATTTCAAATGTGCCTAACTTCTGATTGTGTTAAGTTTTCTTTCAAATAATTAAATATATATTTTTAGTAATTAAGATGCCTCTAGAAATTTTGAGACGTGCTGGAGTTCCCACAAGACTGCTGCATGTCTGTATGTTTATATGTTGCCTGCTGTCTCAGAGGCAGTGGTGTTGAGAGGCCCTGTACAGATGAGGCATCAGTAGCAATCGGCACTGGGGGAAAAACCTGTCAGTGTCCACTCCAGATGTTTCCAATGGAGGTACATCATAGAACACAGTTGAAACATTTGTGATGCCTCTTAACTTTGCTAGTTTCTCTGAGTTTTTCATGACTGTCATCGCTTTGTCTGTCAGAGTATGTCTTTAAATGTCTCTTTACAATATAAAAACAATTCCTTACGTCTTATAAGCCTGTTTGTTTTTTCATTCTGTTAATAAGATCACATGTTATAGTGTTGTCTTTGTTGGAGTTGACAAGCCATGCCCTTTGTTCCTGTCTAGCAACATCAGATCCACTCCTCAAACCTGTAATTTTGCAACCATACATACTTCAGAAAGTAATTTTTTGGTTGTGCAGAAATATGCACAAGCTTTATTCCACTGCTTTATGCTTTTTTTTCTTTTTATGTAACAGGTTGGTTGTTGGAGCCAGCTGTATCCTTTGAAAAAGCTGTGATGATTTATGATTATAAGCAGCATAGCTGTCTTTCCTGTGAAAGTTTGATTTTCCAGAATTTCTTTGCTCATGCCCTGTTGATCAGTTGATAATAGAACAGTAGTAAATGCAGTAGTATCATGGGAATTGAGGTCAGCTGAGGATAAATTTCCAGGATCTTAAAAACAATGTTATCTATGAGGAAAATATTCTAAGGTTTTGGAGTTTTGTTCTATGCAACAAAATCAAGTTAAAGATGTTGTCTGTGTGAGGAGAACTTGATATTTCTAGGTGGAAAGACCGCTTTGTGTACTACCCTTTTATATTGCATTTATATGAAATTAGTATTTATGTTTCCTTAACTGATGCTTCACCAGATGTTTCACTTGAGTGTGCTGGTTTTCTAACAGGCATTGGATTGGACACTACAGTCATGATGAGAAGTATCCCACTTCGTGGGTTTGATCAGGTGAGTACAGAATATCCTACATCTCCTTATATGTCAAATATACTAAACAGTATATTTGATTGTTTTTGTCTCCTAAAGAAAAAGTGTCAGCTTCTCCAAACATTTCCTAGTACACACTTTCTGAAGAGAAACTAAATGACTATTACCTCTTGTTTTCCTATCATATCTCTTGATGCTGTACTCAGAAAAGTAAATCTTTTTTTTTGCTCCTCCTGCTTAATTGAAAACAAGATTGAAAAGGTTGGGAAGCAGGGGAGGGATTTATGGCACTACTCAAAACATTAGATAATCTCTTTAAAATAATCCTGAATTTCTAGGAGTTACAGATAATGATTTTAAAAATAAATTATTGGACTTAATGTGAAGTAGTTCAATGTGGAGTTCATTATGATGAATATAAATAAATCTCTAAGCTGAAAGTTTGTAATGACATAGGAATTGGAAATCTTGACCTTACTACTTTCAAAACAGTGGCAGTTATAACTAGGTGAAAAAAAATACATAGTGATTTCAGTGGAGCTATCAACCGTAAGCTGGAGAAAATTAAAAGCAAAAACTTTCAGGCAGGGAAATATAAAAAGAAAAAACTGTGTTTCAAAATTTGGAAAGATGTTGAGGAGTTTTATTTAAAAGTATAAGTGGTCATGATTGTGCTGACAAAACAGAAAACAGTTTTGGCCGGAAACTCGTTCCTGTGTAAAGAGAATAAAAGCAATTAGAAATAACAATGAGAAAAGACAACAACAACAAAAAAGGTTTTATATAGAATTTGTGTGAAAAGTATAACTGCTTAAAGAAGCAATAAAAGGTAGTATAGCAGGTTTAAGTTAAAGACAAGATACTGGATCCAGTGAAGGTGTTATTTGGCTACCAGTTTGTAGCCTCTGTTACAGGTTAGGTGATCTCTTTGATGGCCTGATAGTCCTTTTGGTCCCTAGACCTGTATGTTAAAGGTGATTATGAATCTTCTGTCCCTGCAAGATCTGATGCTAACATTACTTTGAAGGAAAAGTTTCTCCAGTGTTCTTAAAACAGTGAGAGAGTTCTGGGTTTTCACTCATATGTGCAATGAGCTTTTTCTTTGAAGTTTCCAACAAATTTTGTCTCAGGCAAATAACTTTGGAAAATGTCAGCCTCAAGAATGAAGCCTGTGTCATGTTAATCACTTGAAAATAGTGTTTTCAGCATGGGAATGAATGCATGTTAACTTAATTATTATTAATTATTCCAGGTATCATGAATTAGGGGGGGGGGTTTAATCCTTAGTTGCAATAGTGCAAAACATTTACAGGCCAAACTTGATGAAAGACTGATAGAGCTATGGGCTTGTTTTTAAGAATTTCTTTTCATACACAGGGTGTAAGAAAATTATTTTCATGTGTAACAGCACAGTTTTTGAGGAGGAAACATTGCTTTTAGAAGCAGCAGTGACAAGCACCTCTGCAGGTAGTGACAGCTCCTGGTTGCATGCCAGCCACTTCCACTTTGAAGTGGCTTCCTTAAAACTAGTGGTATGTGTACAAGAGTTTGCAAAACATTGTATTAGACTGTGTCTTGGGATTTACACTCATCATTGAAGAAATCTACACCTGTAATGGCATGAGATCTGAGCAATGGGGGAATAGTGTTGAGAGTGTGTGTGTGGCACTCTATAAAACACTTGCAGAAGGGCTTTCTCTGAGAGCTTGATCCTTTGTAGGCAGGAAGAGCACAATGGAAACTTCAAAGTTAAGAAAGTATTAATAGACATAAAATAATTATGTTCAGTCTGTAGTCACATTGAGTCTGATGGAAACTGGTTAGTGAGCTATCATGTTTCTGAAGAGATATAACCCTGCTGTTGCCTTCACATTGGTTAATATCAGCTTAGAAAATAAAGTATTAGTAAGCTGAGAGCTTGCATGTAGTTGTTCTGTGTGAGTGGTTTTGTGATAATGTTCTGTAAGTAATAAAGATATTCATTGAAAAAGTGCAACCAGAATTACTGCAGTCAAGAGCAATGACATCTTTGGATAAACCTGTCAATGCGACACTTTACTACTTGACTGTGGTATGGCATTATTTCAAACAGGCTCTTAGGACAAAAGCATTATTTCCTTTTTGTAGTAGAACTTTCCAGGAAACCTTAGTGATTCATAGTCATTGCAGAGAAAAGACAAGTGTCATGGCAAAGGGAAATATTTTTCTTCCTTAGCTTTATGACAGTATTTAATTCTCATCAAGCTGCCATAAAATGGTAATTATGTTAACTTTAAATTGAATATGCTCTAGATGCTATTTTTGTATAAGCATCAAATGATTTAAAAGCAACTGGTTTATTCATATTCTGTTTTACTTTTTTTGAAAATAATTTGAATATTCAGATGTAGATGTCTCTTGGAATGGTGTTGCAGGTCATAGTGGCTCAATAAATTATCATGTGTTTGCAATGCATAGTAACTAAGTGACAAAGAATGTTTGAAATGCACGGTACATGTTCTGGGGTTTTATGAAGACAGCTGAAGGTGGGTTTTACTTTTAAAAAGTCATATATCTAAGAATAAACAATTTTTTTTTCCTCTACTCAACAGCAAATGGCATCTTTAGTAACTGAGCACATGGAATCTTATGGCACAAAATTTTTAAAGAGATGTTTCCCAACCAAAGTTGAAAAATTGGAGGGCAACAGATTGCATGTCACCTGGAAAAATACTGACCTAGGCACAGAAGAAACAGATTCCTTTGACACAGTGATGTGGGCAGTAGGTAAACTTGATTATCTTAACGTTTATTTGCAATGCTTTCCATTCTGAAAATGAAGTCACCTTATCATGTTTATGGGGCCAAACAGCCCCCTCCATTGCGAATTTCTTAATTCTTTTCTTGCATACCTGACTTGTTCACTTACTGTCTAAAAACACATGAAAGTTACAGTGGATGAAAAAATGCATGGTAACTACTTTTGCATGAGCTGCAATAAATGGGAGACCATTTAGTCTTCCTCACATCTACTAGAGGGTGAGAGCATGAAATTCTAGATAAATAATGGATGGCTAAAGGTAGTAGTGATATTTAGCAAGAAGGTGATATCTCGTGAACAAAGTAAATAGGCTTAAATTTATTGCTCAATAAATCTGTTTTGATAGAGAAGAACAATCAGTTTTACTAGCAGCTTTAGAAATTCCTTTAACTACTTCATTTTTATGCTATTCTTTTTATCTGACGCTACTGTTTTAGAGTAGTGGAGAAGTGTTACTCCTTCATTTGTTGATAACAGATAAAGTTAAATTCTTGTGGATGTAAACTAGATCCATTACAGGAAACAGGAACAGATCATTTACAGCATTTTGGATTTTGCCCAGTGGACTAAATCTGTTGTCCTGTTGTTCCTTTCTTCGGATTAAGTTAGCTTTATATCTTCCTAATACCCTAAACAGAGAGCAGGTTGTGTGTTGTGACAAACATTTTCTTTTGCTTACTATGATTACCGTTCTCTTAGAAGTGTAATGGGCTTCCATAAATTGTGGAAACAGCCTATAATAATGGATTATGCTCACCAGAACCAATCAAAGACAGTAGCGCTTGCCAAGAGCAAAAAAGGTCATGCTATCTGGAGATTTGACAGTCCTGAAAAGTGTAGAATAGCATTCATGAGGTGAGATGAAAATGTTTCAAAACGTGCTTTTCTAAATGCCATATTTGATTTTTCTCAAGCTTTCTGGTAAAAATACACTGAGATGGAGTCACACCTGTGAAATGTCAAGTCAATTTGTTTACTTTTGTCAAAGATGGAAAAAAGAGCTATTAAACTGAAACAATACCAAAAAAATCTTGGTTTAGTGTTAATTATAATGGAATAAAGTTGCATGATATACTATTGCAGTTCAGTTGTAATGTGACTCCACTCACTATTTTGATACCAACAACTACATGTATTACAGTTCTTGTTATATATTTGAGTTATAATCCATATTTGGAAACTGCAAAATGAACAGTTTGAGGGTTTGGGTTATGTGTGTTGACTTTTTTTTAGTGTTCAAATTGGCACTCCACCTTAAAGGATTAAACACATTAACAGTTACAGCTGGTTAATTGATGTGCAGTCGGTATGATTCATTGTTTTGCTCTGTATCAACACACCCACGCCAGGTGTCTCAGATAATAGGCTGGGAAACTCGGTAGTGTTGAGGATTTCCTGTCTGCAGATGTGCCAGTTACAGTACTGATT